ATGATGGGTTTAATCTTTGCACAGTAATTTTCAGTCAGACGCAGCTCACCATCGCCTTTCTTGAGTCAACGAAGCCTTGCTGTGCCGCTGAATAGATTTGGTTGACGAAAATCCTCGTTTTCTCCGCATTTCATTCTTTTCGAAACATCCGCTTTGTTTACATTACCGAAAAGTAATATAAGTCGTAAAATTACCTCGACTTGTTGTTAGTTTGAATCCAATGAAATTTTAGTCACATTTTATATGATTTTATATCAAGTATATCTTTAAAATAAGTTGCATTGTAAATTTTATTTCCAACTCTACTAAAGAGATGAACGACATACGATTCATTTACGTCATTCGGAGTTGCGCGGTGGATTCAAAATCGTCACTACCATACGTCCTTAATTGAATACCTTATAAGTTCCGCATGCCATACATGTATCTATAACGTAAATTCTGTAAGAACATTATAATGCAGTATGTAGTGTAACATTCATGTCACCAGCTGGTCACAAAAAGAAGTCATTTTAGGAAATTGGGTTTAATTTTGATGACGGTCATTCTTTGAAAAGCTTTAAAGATGCTTGTTTGTTCATCAAATTCAATGTGACTAACTTTAATGTTTTTTTTTTTTTAAATTAGGCGTAGATCGATACATGTAGGTGTAAATTATGTTTTTACTATATTTCTAGATTCTTTACTAAATATGACTCTAGTAAACTACCATTAAAGGAATAAAAAGCAGATTTTACATAAAGAAATATTTTTTTCTGCCTATTGTTATGTGCTTTAATACTTGTGTACTTGTCAATCTGATGCATTAGGTGAAACAGTAATATGGACTACATGTAATAGCCATGAAAAAATCAAAAGAGAAAGTAAATGACCTTCGTATTTGATTACAATTTTATCTGTAAGATTTTACTTGTAAATATACATATAAACAGATAGAGAGCCAATACTGACTTATAAATAGTGTAAATATGTTATGTTTTGTCTTGACTTGATATTTTAATAGTGCTGGTATATAATTTTGATTTCTGCTAAGATATCCTATAAATCTTCAGCTAAGATGTTCAATAAATCTTCCGCTAAATTTTCCACAAATATTCCGCTAAATTTTCCACAAATTAAAAAACCGTCCATCCGCTTAAATGGCCAACCCCGGGTTGTATACATTGATACACGTTGCAATATTAATGAAAGTAAATCTATTTTTTATTCCCGACCTAACAATCTTTATTTTGATGTGCCCTCTTTTGTCTCATAATTAGCACTCATCATTATATTCCAGTGTCCAAATTGACATTTCTAAGTTTTGTTTTCAAATCAAGCCTTGATACAGTGTAATTAAGATTTAATCAATGATTTATTAGATATTAAAATTTTTAATAATGGTTACTTTACTTGAAATAAAATCAGCGACGGAAAAAAAAACATGAAAAAAAATGTTTTATAACATGTAAAAAAAAATTAAATGAATATAACAAGAAACTTTCAATTTTGTTAATTAATAATTATTATATGCTAGTAGCGAAGCATGACCTCGAGTACCATCTTACTTTTCACTTTTTGATTCTTATGTTGCAAGCAAATTGAATTATGGTTGCAAAGTATGGGGGGACACAATGCTAGTAATATTGAAAAAGTACATTTGGACTTTATCAAATATGTTTTATGTGTAAGAAAGAGCACAGTCAAATACTGCTATGATTTATGTTGAAACTTGTAGACTCCCGATGAAGATTGTTCGCATTTTTCGTATTTTTAAATTTTGGTTCAAGTTGTTAGAAACTGATAATTGTATCCCGAAAATGTGTTGTGAATATTCCACAACAGCTGGGTTGTACATATCAAGGAAAAACTTTTTGAAAATGGACTTGGATTTGTCTGGTTTGAACAAGACAAGAAATTGATTTATGAACATTTTCCTATTATCAAACAAAAAAATAACAGATATATAATTTCATACAAAATCTCATGACTGAAATTAATTGTTATTATATATATATATATATATATATATATATATATATATATATATATATATATATATATATATATATATATATATATAATATATAATATATATACATCAAGCAAATAAAGAATAATAATAGTGCGAAACAGATTGAAATATGAAGGTAACGAACGGTAAGCCTATGCCCGTTGAAGCACTGTATGCATACGCGCATCCCGTTCCCCATGGATTTTTTGGGGGGTGGGGTGGGGTGATTTGTTTGTTTTCTTTTTTTATTTGCTTTTAATAGAACATGAAAAACAAAAGCATATTCATATTCACATTTTGATAGTAAGATATAGGTTGTTGCTTTAAAATTTGAACCCATCGATGTGTTCCATTATCAGTGATAATTGTAAAACAAAATATACATTTTTTAAGTTAATTATCATTATCACAAGATATGTACATTTTCACAAGATAATATGTACATTTTCACAAGATAATATGTACATTTTCACAAGATAATATGTACATTTTCACAAGATGTAATATGTACATTTTCACAAGATGTAATATGTACATTTTCACAAGATGTAATATGTAAATTTAATTTTGTTGAGTTAGTTTGTGCCAAATCTTACCTGTCGATGAATAACCTATATAAAGTATTTCAGAGGGGTGAATTACACTTAAGGAGGTTGGATCCTGCCATCAAAAGTAATGAGAATTTTTTATCAAGTATATTTTTAGTATTTATACACATAGCTTAATTAAAAATCAAAACAAAAAATTGGGGTCACTGCGCTTCTTTTGGCGCTACAGAGCATTTAGTTTGACCTTTTTGCACTGTAAACACGTCTTACACATAAATCAATTTTTAAAGTTTTTCCTCTATTTTTTTATTCAAATAAATTATGGGAACAAACACAGTCTTATTTCATCGTGAATAGACACATTAAAATTTGTGACAATGAAAAAAAATTTCGAATTACTCCGCTTGTATAATTATTTGACCTTTTTGCACTCAAAAAATTTAATTTTGCTGGAATTAAAAATTTAACAAGCAAAAAATCATTTGAAAGTAATGGCATTTTACTGAATTTAAGAAGAATGGTTAAAAGTATGTTATATATTCAGAAAATAAAATTAAAAGTTGGGGTCTGTGATGTTAATTTTTAGATATTACTACATGTAAAATAGTGCTAATTCAAAGCTTAAATTAGGGCTATTTTTTTCACAATATATTTATTTGCTATGTTTATCAAATATGATGATAGAATTCATGACAGTTAATTTAATATAATTAAGGACCAGTAAAAAAAACAGTTCACTGCACAAAATAACTCTGTGTGCAGAATGCTTGTAAAAATAGGAATCCAAACTTAACATACTTTAAATACTTCGAAAGAGAAAAAATGATCATATTCTTCTAAAAACCATTCCGCCACAAAATATAGTTCCTCGCTAACTGCCTTTGGTATGGAATTTTATCATGGAGTTTTCACTTGATATAGTTTAATTGGCATTGTAGAATCCAAATTTATTGTAAGAATTAAAACATCATGCATAATTTTTAAAATATAGGTTAAGATAAAAATCTGCTCAAAAGCTCAGGAGCGAACCTCGTTAAGATGGAATTTAAAGGGGGGATGAATCCCCTAACTTCTTCAGATCATCCAAAACCTCTGTTCCGTTTGAAGATACATGTACATGAACGTACATTGTACATGTACTAGTCAAAGAGTCGGCACATTTATCAAATTAAGTTTTCCACCTTTAGATCCCGTTTAATTTAAACATTATTTATTTTCAACTTTTAACTTTAATAGAATTTATGTCTTACCTGCAATGCATCATCGATATATTTCACGTGTATACATGTATAAGATAATCTTTAAATCTGTTGCATCTAACTTTAATCTAGTACATATCTGCATGTACTTTTATATTTTGAGTAAGGTACATTTCATTTTCAATCCCCTTTGTATTAAAATTTGTTTAAAAAAAAATTATTTTGTTGACAAAATAAAGTAAAATTTCAAAATTTTCAAATTTTGTAAATAACGCATGTAAGAAACATTATTTACACCAGAAAAGCTTCATTTGTTCGATGTAAACCGTAGACATTTTTAAAAGATATACCATGTACGGTTGTATTGTACAACGTATCCTGTCCAAACTGAGGTACGGTTACATAAGGACCAAAATTATTAAGTAATTACATGTAGATGTAATTAGATTAATTAATAAAATTATTATATTTAATGTGCATAGGCAACTTCAAACTTCCCTGCATAATGAAAACTAATTTTGATTCATCTATATCTGCACGAAGACAGGTTAAGCAGCATCTCATGGATGAAATAATAAGAAAATCAATTTTCAAATATTTACCCAAGAAACAATTTTAATACTCGTTCATATTCTCTAAGTCTTGTGGTAAAGTCTAGTTTGGTTCCATAATAGTCCTAAGCTTCGTGGGGGTGGCAGTGTGTGTCTGTAATTAGCGTAATTAAAGCTACGGAACTTTACAGGAATTTAATGTTAGAATTAAAACTTAACATAACTTGAGAATATGATTTTTTAAGTTGTGTAGCTAATATTTCTTAATATAGATGCAAATCATAAGTTTACTATCAATTTATATAAATTTTAATAAAGTATATTACGAGACTCAAGCAACAAACAATGAATAAAGTTTTTTTTCGTGGGGGGGGGGGGGGAGAACAACATGACTGTTTAAGATCGAGTAGAGGTCATCTTTAAAGACGAGGGTAGATCTTTTTGCCAGTCATATACATGAGTATTTTACATTTGGTTTTAACGTCATTGCTACTAAGGATTTTGATATTCTGTCTGAAAGGAATTACATGTATATATAAGAAATATGCACTTCAAGACAAAATAAAAAAAGTGCTCATCTCTTTTTTAACACTTAAATGTCAAGTGTTAGAGAAAGAAAAAAAACTTAATCTTTTCCTAAACAGTTACGTTTTCGTTTAATCAAAAAAAAAAAAAAAAAAATGCCGCTTTATATCTACGTTGCTAAGAAATGGGCAAATGTATTCAATTTCAGACTTGTAACAAAATGATTCAGAAACATTTGAACACAAATATATCTTTTACTTAAATATTTTCTTAGCTTTGATAAGTCGCTACAATATATAGGCATATAAATATAATAATATCGTCCTATAAATTGTCCTTCATTTAAAAAAAATAGATATAGAATCTGCATATATGTTTTCAAAAGGCATGGCGAAAGAGTTCATGCAATTTTCGCAAAGATCTAGAATTGACGAATTTTCTTGTCATTTTGATGGAGATACCTAATTATGCTAATTAATTTCAGAAATCAAACGTTACAGCACTTTCAGTGCATTTGCACTTGACGTGATGACGGAAGTTTATGCTATCAGCGGATTTCCAACGAAAGACGAGCGTCAGTGCATTAGCGAAATCATCGGGGAAACAGAGAAGAGAGTTCAGGTAAAAAACGTAAAATTTTAGCATAACAAGTAATAGCTTTTCAAAAAGCTTGCCTGACTAATCAATCATTATCTATGGAATGTATATGCAAGAGAGGTGGTAAACGTTTCCGTCATCAAGGAGCGAAATAGTTGCGATACTTCATTACACAAGATGTACAATTGACTTTCTCAAATGTCATAACCAAATACTACAGATTAACGAATATCTAAGATATGCCACTATTTGGTCATTTATTAGTTAGCCCACGGGCTGACTAGTTACGTTGGGATGAAACTGCAAGTGCACTAGCGTAGATTATAATCAAGGCGGATCCAGCACCGGCGCGTCGGGCGTACGCCCCTCCCCCCCCCCCCCCCCGTTTGAATATTTTGTATGTAGATCTTATATGTTTATTATCCTGAAATCAAGGAAAAAACACCTTATTTGTAAGAATTCGTCAGCTTCCGGGGGCTTCGTCCCCCAACCCCCATCAGGGATTTGCCCTGGACCCACTGGGGTTACAATACAGCCCCCCCCCCCCCACCCCCCGACCACCTGCCTTCTACTGCCCCATCCCGTTATGAAATTCCTGGATCCGCCACTGATAATTCTGGAAAAAATAGTTAGATGATTCGTTTTCAAGAAATTCATATTACATGCACTCTCTTACTAGAGGGCGCACTTCTCCATGCACACTCCATGGTCAGTGATAGATTGATGAAACGGCCCCTATTTATAGACTGGTTGTTCTCGACGACGAAGTAAATTATGAACACTTTTAACTGGGAAAGTTGTCTTAAAGCGTTTGAGACAAAATTAAATGCTTCAATGCTGCTCTAGAACTCAAAGTAAATGGCCTGTACAGTTTATAGCTAGAGCAAAACAAGATACTAATAACACCCCCCCCCCCCCTCCGGACAAAACTCACGCGATGATGGTCTTACCATATACATGTACATGTATTATAAATGAGTTTAAAATACATCTTTTTGTATGCCCTACAGTTTTGAAATTGTTTAGTTTTTCTATTCAATCGATTTCAGGACCTTTCTCATATTTATAATAACGTGCTTTTTTATGAAATGAAAACCAGTACAGATCATGGTGTCTTCTTCATTTTGCCGATTCTTTATTTAGAACTTTACGGGAGTGAAGCCCATTCCTCTACGGGTACTGACCTACACTCTTGTCATTGTATTAAAAGGAAACCCTTGTTCATCACAAAGCATGAAATAATATGCTACTCGCTGACTTTCTAAGCTTTTTTCAAAACCTAACCTTATAACGTACATTATTAATAAATGTAATATTGAAAGAAAGGCTAGGTGGAAAACAGACTGAATCAAGAAGGGATGTCAAATTTACTAGGTGGAGGGAGTTTGTTTATGATTAGACTAGTCAACTTATGGGATAAATAGTAAGAATAATCAGCAAATCCATTGCTTTAGTGTTGCCTGCCCATGTACAATGTGTTCTCTTATAAAATGAGATAAAATTTACTGTTAATAAAAAAATCTGGAGCTTAAGAATCATGTTTAAAGAATAAACTTTACTTATTTCCATAGAAGTTATCACACCCATTCAAGAGAACAACCCAAGAAAAAGGCGCGAAGATAATTTACATGTGACATTTGGCGCGAAATCATTGTGTCACCCCTTTCGTAGAAGCCAAATGGACTGATCCAGTAGTTTAGAAACGCAGAAAAAATGTTACACGAACATGTCCGTACAAAGAATCGCAAAGAATTAACATGTGCATGCAAAAGAACTGAAGGAATTAAACACATCATTATTCTGCATCAGTTATATGATTCTTTCTTCGCAAACTGTATTTGTCTAAATGCAGGTAACAAATTCCGATGTAAATCAGCATGTACAAAATCGAGTTCATTAAGAATGATCGCTTAGTTTCGGATCCCTGAAAAATTAATCCTTATACTGCCTGACGCACGTGGCGTCAGGCAATAAGATTAATTGTATATAATATATCAATTTTGTATGTGCTTTTCAATGACATTTATTTGCGGTGGAAATTCTACTTTCGAAGTAGTGCAGGAAAGTTATGCACTTATACATACATGTAGTTCATATTTGCTCAATAACCCGGGTTAGGTATTGACATTCTTAGCTGATAAGGAGAAAAAACCCATAAAAGGAGTAAATTATAGACTAATGAAATAGGGGACTGAGAACAAGTATGATAGGGACACAACCGATCAAAAAGTTCACGTGTATAAGTTCATGTAGGATGAGGGGAGGGGGTTGTGTGATAGAGATTGAGGATAAAAGATCCTTTACAAGTTCTTGATTTAAATTGTTAAATTGAGAAATGTTTACCGGACTAATGCAAACGGCTAGAATTCTGCCACCTTAAGTCTCAAGACATGTATTTATAATCATTTTAAAATTTACAGCTCCATCCTTTTGAAGATATATAAAAGTTATACAATAACATGTGCGATATATGAAAAATATTTTTTAAAATGGCGAATGAATAATTATATTATGTAGATTGAGGATATATAAAGTTATGCACGTGCGATATGTTTGGAAAATACTTTTAAAAATGACGAATGAATAATATTATGTCGATGTATCGACGTACAACACAGTTGGGGGAGATAACTCCTGCGATTTCAATCAAACGTGACGTAAATTATTAAATAAGCTTCATAATGACGAGCAATTACGATTCAGATGTATCTAAAAGAGAAAGGTGATTAGGGGGATAGCGATATCTTTGTGAATATCAAATCTTATCCTTGACTATTTTCGCATTTGCATTAAACTCCCTCCTTTCCATAAGGGGAAGAAAAAAGATTATCCCTTAAATTCATATGTAAATTGTATTCGTGATCACACCAAAGCAGTTTTTTTATCAGACAATTTTTATGTCAATTAATTTTTTAATTACATTTGGCTACATAACAGTCAGATTATTTTCTCTTATAATTATGCAAATGAATATTGTTTTGTTTTCTTTTTTAAAAAATATACCGTTTTCAGAAGTTCCCTGATCAAAGAGGGATGTATATTCTCCCTTCCCTCCGTTGAGTTATTCCTCCTGTTTTCCGAACAATTGTAATTGTTTTTTTGTACAAATACACAGATAAATTTACTGTGAGATCTGTTGAACACAGGAGCTGAAAGCTACGTGTATTATATATACAAAGTACGTATCAAAAGTCAAAAAGGGCTGTTTACTGAAATTAACTGAATATAGCATCCCATTGCGGCAAACTGGTCTGTAAACGTTTTCATTCGCATTTCCTTGTATAAATAAAAACCACTGTATATGGTCATTCAGGCACATGGATAATTTTAAAATAGATGAAGAATTTACAGTTTGATACATTGAAGTTACTATATGCGAAAACGGAAAGTCCATTTTATTTACTAGACAGTAAATATTTATAGAAGCAACCCAACAGATGGATGCACTTATAATACAGGGAGGGGGGGCGTGTGTAACCCTCCCCCCCCATCATCTCTTGTTTAGAATAATTATAAGAAACTATATATCGTATATATATAGAGTTTCTTATATATCACTGTAGATGTCACCTTTGTTTCATCCAGCTCGGATGGCCTGCGTTGCAAGGAAAGGAAGGGATGTCTTAAATTTTCAGAAGTTGCCTTTATCTCAACATTTAAATATACAATTGAGTTTTTGATAAAAAAAAAAATAATGTAGATAACATGTTAAAAGCAAAAGATATTTTCCATCTTAGATTTTTATGTGTATTGTAGATTCATAAAATTGGTTTTGTGTCAAGCCTTGGAGAAACGTGACTTAGGGAGAAAGCGGGGAGGGGAGGGGGGGATGATTTCCGCTATAAATTCAAAAAGGGTCGTTTAAAAAAATTCACAAAATTATCGAGATTAAATTGGCAGCCACCTACATGAAGAGAGTATTTTTTCCCAAAATTAAACGTTTATTCATAAAAATATTTGAATTGAAAAACACGCATTTTTCAAGACTAAGATGACACATTTTTTTTTCAGTTTACATTCAAAATTGTTTTCGGCCTTTGTTCTCCATTAACAAATGTAAATATACTTTCAATCCTTTTTAACTGTAGATAAGGTTTATGGAAGGTAGATACAACCAGCCCTATCACTTGGGTGGAGTTACAATGTAAGCAGGTTTTCCATGTCAAAAACATATATATGGGTTTGATTCACTTAGCTTATTAAGATCCTGTGTTGAACAACAGGAAACACGAGAATTTGAAGTAAATATGTGAGCATCTTAGCATAATTCATCTTTTACCTCCATAAACACCGAGGAGAAGAGGCAAGCAATGTTTAAATACATGTAGATGATACACGTATACATGTATATAAATGTGCCACTGCATGATATTACAAATACATAAAGTCCCCTATTTAAAGCAGAATACATGGTAAAGGAGGCATATTACTCTAAAATTAAGCAAAAATTAAGCTCCGTATAAGTTTACAATCGGCTAGATCTAAGGAGATGGGTGAACAGGGCGTGCAGAATACCTATAGTTTCAGGTGTACAAAGAAAACATATTCATTTTGTGAATTTAGCATTTAGAGTAATGTCCTCATTAT